ATTTTTTCTGTCCCTAATTTTTCTTTCTTAGTCTAGACTAAATCCTGATAGCACAGCTCTTTGTATTGGCCTTTCCTTCTTTCGAGATACTGTAATACTGCTCCTCTTTTATTTGCCATTTGTCCTTTTGTTTTATGGTTCTCTTTGTTGCAAGCATCTTTGTTGTTTCTTCCAGATTATGCTCCTCAGGGACTTCTGTATCAGTACGACTGAACATTGCTTGCAGCCATGCCAGATTGTGCTGTGATCTTATTGGATTTCACAAACCAAGGTTAGGCCAGGTCAGAGCTTGGTTGAAATAACGTAGACTACAAGATTGCCTGCTAGCCACTGGGAACACACACAACAAAAACCTGACCCAGATGTTGATTCAGTCAGCTCAGGCTGGCAGTGCTGCCGTGCTGACTGCGGTGGGTGCGATACTAATGAAAAGTTCTGACCTGTTCTGGCTGGTAGGATTTCACAGCTTTTTTTAGAGAAGAGTACTGTTGTTAATTCCAGTGTTCTGGCCCATTCCAAATCCTTTAATTCTCTATCAGGATTACACTGGAATTCAGTTGAAGATTATATTCATGATTGCCCTTGAAACTTGCTGTGCTGTTCAAAATGTATTTGTGTGCTGGATGCAATAATTAAAATTTTTTCTTTGCTTTCCTGATCTTCTAAAGCAAAAAATAAAAAAATTTAATAATAATATATATATACACACACCAGTCTTCAGAGTAATGGTTCTGGAAAGGTAGAATTTTTTAGTAAAAATAACACATGAAAATTACAGTTGAGCTTTTCTTAGAGTTGCTTGAAGTTTCTGACCAAAAGATCTATGAAGATGTGCAAGTATGTTCACACTTAGCTTCACTGAGTGCATATTAGGTGGAAAATTGCATGCTATTACGCCTGAGTGCCCCAAAATGATAGGAAGACTGAATATATAGATAAGGCTTTTCTAATTTATTGCAGAGGTATTCGGACCTGTTGGTGTTCTTTATGGTTTTTAATAGCTTATTCCTTAAAATAAAGCTGTGAGAGGCTAGAAGGTGAACATAGAAAAATACGTAATGGTGTGAAATAAAGGCCAACATTAACTTGGGCTACATGTGCCAACCTTTGTTTCATCCTTGCTCTCAGCCTGAGGGAAGGCTGCTGGAGGGTTCATTTGCCTGTGTCCATGCTGGAACAATACTCATGAAGTAGTGGAAAGAACAGTACAATTAGCTTGGTTTACCTTGATGTGCCCAGATGTACAGTGATGGACTTAGATCTAGCACAAAACCACAAAACCTGAATATATCTAGCTAGGCAGCAGCCATTAACAGCATAGCCATTAAGAACATTTGAAGACTGTAAATTGTGAATCTGCAGAGGAATTAGTGAGGTATGAAAGGGCAGGGGTGACTAGGAATCAGTTAATTAAATACTTCACAGGCTGGATCAGGAAAAACTTCGTGTCAGTTTAAGCTGTAGTGTGGTATCTTTCTGTGTAGAGTCATGTGGTATCTTTCTGTGAATATGTAAAATAAGTCTCGGGATTCAAGTCTGTAATGTGTTTTACATACTGGGACAATTTTCTGTGGCTGGATGGGGACCAGATAATCAGGTATTTATACCTCTGGGGTATTTTCATCTTTTGAAAGTTTTGGGTCCACTTTTCTCTGTCAGCATCTGTATACTGAGAGGAAGTATTGAATATCTTGACTTTTAAATCCAAGTTTATATGCATTTCTGCATAGACAAAATGGAAAATTTAAAATTGGAGTAGGAAGATTAATGTTCTATAAAAGATGGGATTTACAGTTTGATTGTAAGCGTTTGGCATTGAGGTTACCCATAATTATTCTTAATAGGTAAATTATCTCTGTCTCTGATAATCCTAATCATCAGTGCAAAGCTTGGCACTGCCAGCAGAGATATGGAAGGTGTAGTGTAGGAGAAGGCTGGAAGGAGTCTTTCATCTCTGCCATCCCTTGCCAAAGGCTTACTGTACATGCAAATTCATCAGCTTTTCTATTGTGGTGCATTTATATATCCTGGAGAGGCTGAAATCTGGGAATTAATTGCTCTGTGTGCTCAGGGGGCCACTCTGCAGTGGGAGAATCTGTAGGATTGGGACAGTAGTGGCTGATGTTGCTGCAGCATTAATAAATACATGGGGTAATGTCCTGCAGAAGAGTATGAAGAGCTTTGTCGATTGATTTTGTCCTTACCTCCTTTGTTTTATGAAGTGCCAGCCTGGCTAACCCTTTATAAGAAAACAGCATGACTGATGTTCACCTGCTGAACAGATATGCTGTATATGTTTGGGGGAGGTGGGCTGATGGTGTCTGTGCAGGGGACAGATAGCTGTTGTTTTCAGCTGTTATTTACAGGATCAATAAAACTGATTTTCCAATTCAAGGATAATTTTTACCAACAAGCTACATAGCCTATAAGGTCATAATATTGGATCTTCTCTTTTTCAGAACAAGTTAATTTAAAAATGATAGGTAGTTTCCAGCTCAGGATGAGTTTTGTAATAGAAAGGAAAGATGTATCTGGAAGAAACACCTTGGGAGGGGGTGAGAATTGCCCCAGAACAACATTGTTGCACATTGCCCACAGTCCTTTTCTTTGAACAATAATCATTTAACTGTGCATGATATTTTAATGACAAATGCAATATAATAAGAAAATTCAGAGCTGTTTTATTACAATCCTGGTTCAGTTATTGTTGGAGGCTGTGAAAATGCTGCTGTGGACTTTACTGGGCAATGCCAGGTGCTTTCTGTAAAGTGCAATTTATTTTATGACCACTGTCACTGTAGAAAAAAATATTTTTGATGTTGTGGAATTATTTCAGGCCAATAGTGAGTGTATTCACACATATATCTCCAAATACCATTCATTCCTTTTGCAGTTACTTTATCTCAATCTTTTGTGACCAGTTGAGAATGTCTCACATCCGAGTCATACATGTATATATGCACATATTTTAATACTGCATTCCTCCCTCTGTATTTGCCCTTCTTGCCCGTTGCATGCTTAAGAAAAGGCACAGTTTAAAAGCAGTATCAGTATGAGGCTTCTGCAGGTGTGCCTGTATGATTGGGGTGAGATACAGCTTTGAATGAGTAAAGTCATGCAGCTATCATTTTATAAGCAGATGACCATACCTACTATCAGTATGAATTCTGCATGGTGAGGAGGAAATAGCTAAGAAGTGTTCTTCCATTGCAATAAGTCTCAATGAACTTTACATGCCAGAAAAATTTTAGATTTTTAGATTTTAGAAAAAAAGCTTTTTATTTTTGACATCAAACTCGACCCATTGCAAACCCCAGAGCATCATGAAACATAACCAGAGTCTCTGTCCTTTTCCTATACTTTGGTAAGTCTCGGGCTTTTGTAGTCATTACCTATGAAATATGTAGTCTGTGGAAGTCTACATAAAAATCAAATGCCATTACCTTTGAGAAGCTTTGGGTTCAGACCTAAAATACTTTTAAGTCTTCACGTGCCATTTTTCTCAAAGTCTACACAGCCATTTATGATTCCCTTTTGCTCCTTTATATATGGAGTAGTGGAGGAAAAAAAATGGACGAATGTTGGTTTGATTTAGAAGAATTTGATGGTGAAGATTTGTTTAAAATTGAAAAGATATTTTTCTTTACTGTGATTGGACCAAAGTTTTCCTTTTTTGGATGGTAAATAGTTTATAATGTTTGAGTAAGAATCTGGCTTTTGGATGGCTGTGTTGCTGATGAGAGCTGCTGGCAACAGAAGCTTTCTAACACCAAACTGCTAGTTTATTAAAAGAATAATAGGAACAGATGTTTTCAATTCATAAAATGTATCAAGTAAATGGTACATCCACATGTTATTTCAATTCCTTTGAATTTCTGTGAACTCATTTGGGGCTAGGTTTGCAAAAGAGCTTAGCCCACTGTCACTTCATTGTTCTCACTCTAAACTGATGGATGATGAACGTGTTTGGGAACTGCAGCTTTTTATGCCTAAAGGGGAGCTCCTAACTACTGACGCTTCTAAAATTTGGCCCATGTTTCTGATGAGTGAATACTGATCATTATAGAGGATTCACACATCCAGTCTCTGAGTAATACCCTGCATTTGCCTGTGATTGTATATATGATGGTTCCTTAATTTACTATTGCACTAAGCATTTTAATTCAAATTATGCTAATAGTGTAGGATTAACTGCGGATTATGATTCTAGCATGTACTGTCATTCAAACAGAAGAACCAGCTCTTTAGCTCCTACAGCCTCTTTCTCCCTCTCATCTTGATGTGTACTAATTTGTGCTCAAGGCTGGCCTCAGGTTTTGATGGGGTTTCTTGTTTAAACAAGAAATTGCTTAGGGAAAGGCAGTTGTTGAAAATCAGGGAAAGAGAGACTGAGATTCTTTTTGTCTTCTGATGACACATTTTTACGGTGCTGAAGTGATTTTCTGAAAACAGTGATTAGAATGGGCTCTTGCCAGCACTGCACAGTGAACAGTTCTGGTTTTGCCTTCATTCCTCAGTGGTAGGACAGGTTGCACATACTTTTTTTTTGCACTCTTGACTCAAATACATATTTGAGAAAAGTGCTAGGTGGTTATGTAAAAATCACCAGACAAGTCATAGAATAAATAATACGTGCAAGAGAACTGATGTTATATTGGTCCTTGTTAGAGCATATAGCAGGAGGCCAGTTCTGTTCTTTGCCAATTCTGAAAAAAAAAGCTTTATAGCCACCCAAGATAGCTCTTCTTGAAGCATAACCTCTCCAGAGAGCTTCTCCTCTCCCAAACTGCAGATGTGCTGGAAACACAAATTTGCCTCTTTAATGTTTGCACTTGTTTCATTAGATTGTAATGGCATGCAGCCTGTTTGCATTGGTGAATCCATCTGTATTCCTTAAAATCCTTCATTTGTTGCATTTTTTGTTGAGTGCCTGATATTTCTAGTGACCTTGTGTTGTAGCAGCAGTCTAAAATCTGCCTTTTTTCTCATTCTTCCTCCAGCTGATATTATTTCTACAGTTGAGTTCAACCACACTGGAGAACTGCTGGCTACTGGTGACAAGGGGGGTCGAGTTGTTATATTCCAAAGGGAACCTGAGGTATGTGGGTTACCAGTGTAGTCTTCAATAGCCTGATAAAACCTGGCTGAATTTTTAATACTTTATTTGAATTAAATTAACAAACTTGTTTATAATCTCAAGATGTAGTAAAACAGTGTCACCTGTTTAGAGCGGAAGTGAAAAAGGGTAAGGATTTTTAACTTGTAAGCTTGCTATCCCAAGCAAAAATGCTTCAAAGCTCCAAAAGTCCGATGTAAGCAAAAAGAAGGTAATTTTTGTTTTACTTCTGCCTTGTTTTAATAGCTTTTTCCTGATGATGGAACCCCATTCCATTTAAAACAGTATCTTCACTTACCTTTATGTTCCACTTGTAAATTCCAACCATCTGCAGTGTCTTGTTTAGAAGTCTTTCCTGAATAGCTGACATGTCTTCAAAAATTCTAATATTAAGTGTTTCAGTACTCACAGGAAATTCTATTCTTGCTGAAACAAATCTATCAATATCATGTTTTAAATGAGAAATTAAATTAAATTTTCAATATTTTTATATTTATAAGACTGCTTATACACCTTTCCTAAGAGATGAAGATTTATCGCTGTCATAAACAACATTTCTGTTCTTATTCTCCATAGAGTAAAAATGAGCCTTACAATCAGGGGGAGTACAATGTTTACAGCACTTTCCAGAGCCATGAACCGGAATTTGATTATTTGAAGAGCTTGGAGATAGAAGAGAAAATAAACAAGATCAAGTGGTTACCACAGCAAAATGCAGCTCACTCACTTCTATCAACAAATGGTGAGATTGATGAGAGTATGCAGAACATATCAGTATTTGCAGTATTTCCTCTATGTGTTTTAGTGCTGACAGTATATATTTGCTCATTTTAAACTGCTGTTTAGTAATTTCCTCTTTCAGAGTTTACCAAGACTGTCATACTGCCTCTGATATCTGTTGTTTGTATATTTTATTCATAGAATCATGAGGTTTTTCCAATTGATTATTCATAGACATTTAAAGAGCTATCCATTTTTTTATTATATGCAGTGCTATCCTGAAATATATCTTTGTGACAAAGGCATCACCTTATTCAGCAGCTTGTGTTTTGAGGGAAATTTAGAATTTTTTCTGCTGTATTTGTCATGACTTTTATTATTTGTAGATGTGTAAATGAAGGTAGGTAAGAGAGATTAATTTTTTCTTTTCATTCATTATCATCAGAGTAGTTTATTTAAGTTTTAAAGAGGTACACAAATCTTGGGAAGACAGGAACAATAATACTAGGATATTGATACTGACTCATATTTATAACATGTCTAAGGCCTATTGATGAAAGAAAGTAGCATTATTACAAAAAGGGAATGTTCAGATACTAAATAAGGGAAAAAAACTGAATGTAAGCTAACGTGCACAAGTTTCATTTAGGAAGCATTTAGATACCCACGAACTTTATTATTGCAGATGATGCATGAGACAAAATACCTGGTTTTAAATTTTAGATCTAATGGTAATCAGAAATTGGGTTTTTTTTGTTCTAGAAGTTTGAGTATAATTGGGAGTTGATGATGAAAAATAGGGTAATATCATCTTTGGGGACTGCTACAATCACAAAGTGATTGGTTTGCATTAAAATATATAGCATTAAATAATGCTTACATTCATTCAAAGTAGTAGTAATTTTTTAGTATTTTTTAGTTTGTTTTATTTAAAGTTTTCTTTGACTTTTTGGGGGCACTGTTACTTATTTGAAATGAAACACACCTGTTACAGACATGTGATTTATGCTAATTTAATGCTTAGTCACCTTATGAAGTTTGGGAGTTTATTTCTACTCTTCTCCCTTGGTCAAAATATCCCTCACCTTCTTCAGATAACTAAGAATGGCTTCTTCCAAGCATGTGATACAGAAGCAGATTATTGAAATTAAACCTCGCCCTTTTCATTTTAGAATTTGTTTTTAGAAGCACTGAGGAATACAGCCAAGTCCTCAGATTTTCAGCTTTTACAGCTATAGATAATAGACCATTACATGAGTTTTCTGCTTCATCCTTTCAAGAGAGGGGAGAAAATAAGAAATAATCAGTCATAGTGCTGCTGTGGTTAATCCAGTTTCAACCAACGGTGAGCAAGCCTAGGACCTGGAGAGATACTTTGGCCTCTGTTTCTCCTCCTTAGTTTTTGAGCATCGCATCAGACCTCTTCATGGTGAGAGGAACAGAAATGGTTCCATTGGCATAAGCTTTGGATTTTGGCTTTGAATTGCAAAACATTTGCATGTGCCAAGGAGGATTCCTAGCTTCCTGGCACAGCAGGATTGAAGTCTCAAAATTCACCTCCTGGCATATTCTTAGAGATGGTTTTAACTTCAGGGTACAGACAGCTCACATTGAATTACTCACTGTCTCACAGATTACCTGGGAGAAGCCTTTTACAATGTATATCAATTCCATGCCTATAGAAAATAATAATAATATGTTTCCTAATGTGGAGGCACTACCTGTCACACATGCTCATATTGGACAGATTGTAGAAATGTCTTGTCGTTTTTGTTTACTAAATTACAAGTCTGCTATTTTAATGCAGTTTTTGACATCTTGCTCTCTGGTAATTTAGGATGTAATGTAATATTTTTTTGCAGAAAAATAAGAACTGTGAAACAGCATCCTTTCCACATGCTCAGGTGGACACTGTCCACTGAATGTGCTGGAAGGAGCATCCTGCTGCTCAGGAACATGAGGGGAGAGTCGGTCTAAATCTAACCCTCAAAATAAGACTTGGCAGGTCTGCACCTGCCCAAATCTGTTTCTGTCATTCTAAGGAGGGCTTTTGTCTGAAGTTGTTTCTGCACACATCTTTCAGAGGCGATCTTGATTCCTTTCCAGTTCACGTTATCAGCAAGTTATCAGCTAAGCTTTGATTGTGGCATCTTAATTAATGAAGACAGAAGGAAATCACCAAGGCTTTCAAATCCCCCTGTGGATTTACAGTGCTCGCAGTTAGGAAATTTGTAGTTTGCACTGTAAAATCATTGCACTGTAAAATGCAATGATTTTGTAGTATAATGATAACAACTTATTATGATTCATTGGTATCTTTTGTACCAGAATATATTTGGGCCTCTTTAAGTGTGGGCTACATAAGCTAGAGCAGAATTTGGCCCATATAGATTCTTTCATCTGAGGATTTCAGACTGCTTACCAGACATTAATTAATTTTAAATTCACAACACTCTGGAGACTGAATGCTTAACCTCACAGAGATGTTTCTATTTTTTTCTATATTTTGCAAAATATAAGCCTACTTAAAACTTCTAAGGAGTATTTAAAGTCCAGAGGTGGATAAAGGAGAGCACCAATAGATGATAACCTTACCTGCTTATAAAACAGTTTTCACTCAGGAATGAGGTACATTTATTAATAGCAATCAGATCTAACAATGGAAAATTGTTTGTGTTTTATCTTATAATTAATTTTACAATTGCTGTATTTATAATTTTTTGACTAGATCAGCAGGAATGCACTATTTACATGTAATAAAATATCCAAGGGCATGACATGACTTATGTGTATTTTTAGTAATTAATTAACATGATATACAATACAAATGAAATTTATTGAATATTTAAAAGGTGCTTTTTAGTTGCAGATTGAACTGACCTCTTGTTCTGTAGATTGACTGTATTGTGATTTTCTTTGCTTGTATATTAGCATATCAATATCATTAAGAGGTACATAATAGTGAAACCTGAGTAATGGAGGGATTGATTTTGAAACAAAGAAAGTTGAAAGTTAAAAGTTGCTATAGAAATGTAAATCAATTCATGTTTTTTGTATATCCTGTCTTTAAAGTGATTTGTTCTAGCATTTAAAAGTAGCATTTGAAAGTAGTGTTTGGTTCAGCCACACTGGGGAAATGATTATGTATTATTATGTATGCTCTGGTATGTACTTGGGGAAAGAAAGGAATAAAGTGGGATGAAATCAGAAATTATGCAGGAACTGAGGTTAATAAATCTGTGCTGGCAGCTGAAGGGCAGAAGCTTTGGAAAGACTTTTGCTGCTGCACAAGCAGATGAGCAAAACAACCATTAGAATCTTAGGGACAGATTTTTTTGCAGAAGAGTTGGCCTTGATTTTTCAGTCTAAGAAGCATTTGGGTTGGCAGGTTAGGAGCAGAACCACAACAGTGGGAGTGGACAATCAGCATTAGGAAATCTGGAGCTTCAGCTTGTACAAAATACACCCAAAGACAAATGCAGTGTGAAATGTTTCAGACATGTTTGTTGGTTTCAGAGACTCTTTGCTAACTGAGAGACGTCATTACTTTCTCATCATGTGCTTCACCCATCATGGGAAAGGAAGAGTCTGGATTTTATTGCATTCCTTGCAAGATTAATACTTTTTTTTTCTTACTTTTCTCTCTTGCCATCACAATACATTTCTCTTAGTTTGGTTGGTTTTTTTTCTCTTTCCTCAGTTTATTTCTCAGCTGCTTTCCATTAGGAGGGAGAAATGCCTTATTTTTTACACAGCCTTTCAATTGCAGAAGCTCCTGATGTTACACCAATGCTCCACTGCCCATTCCCACAGTGGACCAGGAAGGGACCATTGGTCTGGCTGTGTACTCCAGGCTGTTCTTGTGCTGTTTATAAGTAACCTAGAAAACTGGCATTAATGCCAAACTGGTGTTAATATTGAGCTTATTTCCTTGCCAAGTCAAATTGTTAAAGTGAGCTTCAGCAGTGAGCATTGAGTAGTTTGGGTTTGTTCCACCAGCAAACTGCCAGGTTGGATACACGAGCAGCATGTGCTCTACATGCTCCACACAGTCTGCCAGCTGCCAGGAACCCCTGACTCAGTGTGAAGATCTGGGATGTGCTTTATGGTTATTTCATCTGTTGGCAGCGTTTTCTGGGTGTGCAGAATGAAGTGCCCCAGACTATTTCAGCACAGATCTTGTCTAAAGCAAGGTGTAAAAACTTATTTACGAAATACATTGTGAAAGGTGAGTAACTCCATTCAGAATTCCTATGCTGACAGTTGTATATCTTTTCTTTTAAAGATAAAACAATCAAATTGTGGAAAATTACTGAAAGAGATAAGAGACCGGAGGGGTACAACTTAAAAGATGAAGAAGGAAAGCTTAAAGATCTTTCTACAGTAACGTCACTGCAGGTAAGCTTCTGTCCATGTCCAAAATTCAGTTGTTTCTGTATGAAAAAGGTAGTGCTAAGTCAGTAAAAGATTTAAATATGTACCTAATGCTAAGCATTTGTATGATTATTCTAGCTGAAGCTTTATCTGACTGAAAGCTTGACATGGGGTGACTTTACCTTTAAGATAGCTTCGGGAGCTGGGAGGAAGTTGAAGCTGCGAGAGGCTGATGGGAGTCTTTTCTTGTGACCAATTATTGGTCATTTCTAAGAACTGGCTGCAGTTTTGACCATTGAGAAGTGAGATCAACCTGTGGACACCAGTTTAAGATGTAAAGCCAGGGCTTTCTTGTTATTTTTGGTTTCCGGCTTCTGACAAGGTAACAAGGCTCTGTCTCGGCCTCCTCCCCGCCGCCTCCAGGCCGGACAAGGCCTCAGAGGGCGGGGGGAGAAACGGAGCCAGCCGGCCTGGCTTGGTTTGTAGTTTCTGCTGCTGGACTGCAACCTGACACCATGAACATCTGCAGCTTTCCAAAACTTCAACTCTTTTACTACCTGGATGAGACATACAGATTACTCTTTTTTCCGAGAGAGAAAGAAGGATGAGAGAGAGATAACATGAAGAAGACATCATAAAACCATCAAAAACAGTGAAGAAAAGAGTTAAGTTTTAGATGAGGAAGAGAGAATAAGGAGATGTTTTAATTAAGCTGTAATATTTTTCTGTTAAAGCTATGGAGATGTACAACAGTGTTCTGAAAAAGAGCTCCTTTAATTCGTGACAGAGTATATTGGGAGGAATGGAGTGTTCAAAGTGTGGATTTTGAGCAAATAGTGAAGTGATTGTGATGCTGTGAGATACTGAAAGAGAGGGGGAGAAGTAGTAGTTAAAGATTTGTGGCCTTTTGAGAGGCAAAGAGAAAACTTCTGTTTCCAGGGAGGGTCAGAAAAACAGATTAAGAGAACTTTTGCCTTTGAATAACTCATCCTTAAAAATGACATCCCTAGACTCATTTGACCCATAACACACCTCAGAGTGATGTGAAATGGGAGGAGTGAACTGATGACAGATTTTTTTTTCCGGGCAGCTGGCATCAGAGAAATAGAAAGCTATAACAGAAATAGTTTTCTTGTGAAAAACTCCATAGATTAGCAGAAGAAGACTTCTGTTACTTTACAAAGACTGATGAAAAGACTCTAACAGGAATTAGGACTGATTTAAACACCAAAGTTCCAAGTTTTTTGTCTCTATGTTGTCATGTGAACAAGGGAATGGTTGGGTAGTGGGGAAGAAAGAGGTTTTCTGGAAGTTATTCTGGTTTTCTTATTCTTGTAGTTCTGTTAATAAACTTTCTTTATTCTTTTTACGTTTTAAGCCTGTTTTGCTCTTGTTCTAATCCATATCTCACAGCAAGAAATAAGTAAGTTTTCTAGTAATTTTTTAGTTACTGCTTTAAAGCCATGACATTTATTTGGTGCATTGGCCAGGAAAACGAAATTAGCAAATCTAAACCACTACAAAGCTGTATTGAATCTGCCACATATTTGCAAGTCACAAATGCTTTAAGATGTACTGACCAAAGTAAGCATTTTTGAGAATTCATGTTGGTTTTATTTTTCCTGATAAAATTCTCTTATTGTGACTCAATGTGTTTTCATAAAACATTCATTAACCTCTTGTGCTGAAAGCATTTTACTTGTGATTAATTTTGAACAGGGTTCTTGCCACATTCAGAGCAACGGTGTTAAAGACAGTATACCAAATTTCAGTTTCATCTTTTTTTCAGTTTTATAAAAGAATTATTGTAAGAGTGGGATTTGCAGTAATCTGTGCTCTGGTAAACCTGAGATTCTGCATTGCTGAAAAGATGCAGTCATGGAACTCATATAAGCCATATAAGTCCAACCATGAACCCAGCACTGCCATATTCAATAAACCATGTCCCCAGGTGCTGCTTCTGCACATATTTTAAATACCTCCAGCTATGCTGACTCAACCACTTCCTTGGGCAGCCCCTTCCAGTGATTGACAAAAATTTCAGTGAACAAATCTTTCCTAATATCCAATTATAATATATTAACCTTCCCAGTGCAACTTAAAGCCATTTCCTTTTCTCCTGTTACTTGTTTCTTGGAGAGGAGACCCATCATCCACATGTTAATGTAGATTTTTGCTCTCAGACTTTTTTTGCCTGAATTCACTTCAGATGTTTTGGCAAAGAAAGTGGCTAAAGGTTAGAACTGGAAGACTATGTTGTATAAGCACTACTGTGTTGTATAAACACATCTTTATTTATGAAAACAAAACAAGCCAATATTGTCTGTTGGGAACAAAAGCTTCCAAAGTGTAAATATGACTACATTAATGGAATATTTATCTATTCTGTATGATTAGGCAAACAAAACTATTCCAGATTGCTTATAGTCTGAGAATTCAGCGTCCTCTTGAGGGGAAGAGGAGGGGCAGGCCCTGATCTCTTCTCTGGGGTGACAGTGACAGGACTCCAGGGGATGGCCAGAATTTGTGTCAGGGAGGTTGAGGTGGGTTATTAGAAAAAGGTCCTTTTCCTAGGGGGTGGTTGGGCACTGTAACAGGCTCCCCAGGAAAGTGATCACAGCACCATCGTGGCAGAGTTCAGGAAGCATTCGGAAGCTCTCAGGCACATGGTGTGATTCTTGAGGATGGTGCTGTTCAGGGTGGGAGTTGAATTCTTTGATCCTTGTGGGTCTCTACCAACTTGACATATTCTGTGATCCTGTAATTCAAAGGTTGAGTTGAGTTTTGTTCTTTTAGTAGAAAGTGAAAAAACATTTTAGTAGAAACTAAAATGTTTAATTACTCTATGTTCCTCTTAAACTACCTTGTGGATTGAGGTATGATTGTTCCTGAATCATGTTCAACAACATTGAATAGTCCCAGTCATGGACCACAGCTTTACAGTGTTTAATGCTTTATTGATAGGGAGTAAATTGAGTGTCTACTTTTTGAAGGATGACTTTGAAGTGACACACAGGGAAATAATGAGGGCACATTGACAAGTGATAATCTGTGATATTGGCTTTTCAGGGGTATATGTGAATGTACAGTATGTCATGTTGGCTTTGTTTTGCAAGCCTTTCTTTGTTGTATTTCTCTGAGATTTCCACCACTTGAGTTTTTTGAAAGAGAAACATCAAGTAGCAAAACAAATACAGGTAAGTGACTTACAACTAATGGCAAACCCTTTAGCAAAACCAAAATATGAGTGCTTCACTGCTTGCCCAGAGCCTCCTGCACATGTGGACAGTAGCTTGTGCAGTGGGACTGACCTGTTCTGTGGCAGCTGACAGTCCCTCCCTTCCCACGGTCCAGGCTTCCCATCACTCTGCCTGCCTCTCTTGAATCTCCCTTCCTCCTTGGCAAGGAAGGCCTTACCCAGCAGTTAATCTATGGGGAAGTTCAACTTGTGTACACCATCAACAAGTTTTATAATATCACAGTCTTTCAATGCTTTCTCTCTACTGGAATTACCATCATCCTAGCAAACAGTATTTCATGTCTTACTCTCTTTCTGGTTTTCGTTTTATTTATTTATTTTTTTTTGGCAGGTGCCTGTATTGAAACCCATGGATTTGATGGTAGAAGTCACTCCCAGGAGAATCTTTGCTAATGGTCACACCTATCATGTCAACTCAATATCTGTCAACAGTGACTGTGAGACGTACATGTCAGCGGATGATCTCAGGATTAACCTCTGGCATTTAGCTATCACAGATAGGAGCTTCAGTATCCTTTATTGTGATTCCTTGCTCAGTGTTCATGTAATTAGTAGGGATTAAGAATGCTATTTTAAAATATTTTTTGTGTGTTTTAAAATATGCCATTTACCTACCAGAATCTCTGCAGTATTTGTAGCAGAAAATGCTGAGATATTGTAGGAGACAGCTAAGAGATTGCAAAAATCCGGGAACTTTATTTGAAAAGTAATGGTGTTGGTTAAAGACATTTAAATAGGAAACAGATGCCAGCTGGTAACTACCCACCTGACTAGAATACTCTGTACTGTTGTATCTTGAAGACATTTCTTGCTGAGAGTCTTGCACCTTGTTTTGCTGAAAGGTCAGTCCTGCCCTGCCCCTGTCCCCCATTCTCCATCATCCTGTTTCCCAGTACCCTAATGCCTGAGATGTGCACAGTTTGGGGTTGAGGCTCACCTGCTTTGTGTGAGTTGTGTCTGTGATTAATGCAGGCGTTGATGGTGTTATCCTGAAAACTCCGTTGTGGAGTCATTCCGGCCATCTGTGAGGCTGCCCTGTACACTACAACAGGGTGTCTTGGAGGGGGAATGAAAGAGAAAATGTAGTCAAGAAAAGTGATTCTCTGTGTTATGCAGAACATAAATAGACTGGTAAGAAGAGAAGTAGGTTATGGGGCCAGGTCAGAATGTTGTATTCCTTTGGCTATTTCTTTTTGAGTGTATCAAAAGGAGTTAGAAGACTATGTCTCTGTGGGTTTATGTAAGGGACTATTAGATGTCAAAGTGAAGTTCTCCTGTTGGGGTAGATTTCCTCAGAGAAGGCACCAATGTGATGGGGTGTTCTCCCTATCTCTGGTGATTGTGTTTCTTCCTTTGTGGGCCAGATTAGCTTTGAAACTTAACCCATACCTTGCTAATGTCACAGGTAACAATGATCTTTGAATCAAACAACACTGAATGTCCTTAAAGAATTACCTTTGCAGGGTCAAGTGACAGGTGCCCTTACCCTGGGGATTGTAGTGAATATCTCCTCAGTTTGTTTCCACACTCATACTGTTTTTCTGTCCTTCACCTGTGTAGGTTAAGCAAGCTTAATAGGTGCCCTCCTTAATGTGACTGTTTATTTAGGAACAATTTATATATGGTACTTCAAAGTCCAGCTATGTCTGCCTTCATATCCAAGCAACTGTACTTCCATTCTTTAGTAAGACAGATCACAATTATTTGCCAGCAGACCTATTTGGAGTAGCAGTGTGGATCTGACAGTATCCTCCTCACAGCTGCTTTACCTTCCAGACTTCTCTCTGTCCTGGACACTTTTACTTGTGAGTCTACTGTGTGTCCTCTACTGTGTTTCCTCCTCTTCTAAGGCAGAGCAGTGGGTCAGACCAAGCACAGCAATCTCTGTATGCCTGTGTATGATCACCAGATCACATTCCAGAATGCTTATGCAAGATAAGGCTTTGCCTTTGGCAATTCCTTTTATTGTATTAAAGTGATTTCATAATCTATGGATAGCCAAGGCAAATGTTCCTGAAAAGTTTCAAAAACCAAGACAGTAGTTGTTATAGTTCATGAGGACAACATGAAATTTTAGTGCCATTTGACACACTAAGAGTTTACTGAGAGAAATATCAGCTGTAAATGAATAGCTGTGTGGACTTGTTTCAAGCTTAGCCCACTGCTGTGGTTGAGTACTGATAAAATGTGTTTGAAGGTTTCTGATTGATTCATTGATTTAGCTTTTAAAGTATGATAAAGTTTTTAATGACACACTCATTTTCTGAGTATGTTCTAAGAATGATGATGAGAGGGAAATTAAGAGTGTGTTTTTGAGTTTTAGGATAGGAAATATTTCCTGTGTCTGAGATAGTGGCTTTGAGATACTTGCATTTCTGTCTTGGATTGGAGTACAGATATTGCTGCGTCTTTCACACTTAAATCAAAATCTGTGAGGACTCTGATTAGAGGGTTCAGGCAGTGATAGGAGACAGCACTAGGTAACGGGATAATCAATTCTAGGGGCAAAATGTTCCTGCTAAGGTGCCCATGGTGGCAGCAGGTTGGCTTTTGTGGCTGGATACCCGTATGTATTCGGGAGAGTAGGCTGAGTTAAAGAGTCTGTACCCACTACTGTTTCAGACAATATAAGCTGTACCTGTCTGTACTCAGTTGTCAAAATCAGGCCATCAGACAGATTAACTTTACCTTATTCTTTGATAAACAGAAATTTTGACATAGGTATTCCAAGAGAAGGTGACATACAGAATATTGTTCATAGTAGGGAATTAACTGGGAGGCCGTGATAACTGAAAGAAGGGGATGATTAAGTTCAACTTGCATCAGCCTCCTGACAGATATCTTTCTGTCCATTTAGAGCCCTGTACATCTTGTAAAATTGCAGAGATGTGTTTTTCTCTGGATAGCATCTGTCCCTGAAACTGCATTTCTGTCCTACAGAAAAACAGCTTGCATAAAAATCTCCTGGAAGTAGATGAGTTTCTGGTAAAATCAGTGGGTGTGCCAGTTGCAATTAAGACTAGACATATTAAGGTGAAAAAATTCTGCCAGGCAAACAGTTTAAATTATAAATGAATGTTGCTGGGCTTGGTGCCTTCTGTAACACATTTATGGGGATAGGCAGGAGGAGGCTGAGGCTGTTCTAAAAACGTGTGTTACACATCTTTTTACTGAATGCAAAAGAGAAATGAAGCATCTTGCTGCTCACATTCAAGGCTTGATTCCTTGAAATGCATGTTTAAAAGAATAAATAGAAAACTTTTTGGTTTGAAGTGAGTTTGGTTAATAAGGAATCTGGCAGGGATGAATATTTGTCTATTTTCCCTCAGAGGCAGCACTGCTACATATAATGACCTACAATCTGTTTACCCAAGAGGCTGGTTGTGACAATGACACAAACAACAAATACAGTGGTAGAGTTTCTGGACATTTACTAAATGTCTGAGCATCTTCAGCATGGGAAGTGCTGGAGAAAGACTGAATCAGCAGCAGTGTGTTTAAGTATTTTACAAGTAAAGTACTTTGTCCTGTAGAATTTAATTTGGGAACAATTTGGTTTTAACCATCATTTGCAACCAGTGCTTTTCTGGTTTGTTTTTGTATTTGTGTGAGCACTAACTGGGGTGAAAAGCAGACAAGTGAGTTTATGCTATGCCTATGTAAATTTTAATGAGGAATATGCAAGACTTCAGTACATTACTTCCCACTTGCAAGCAGATCTGTTCAGTAATGTTTGGGCAGGAGGAGGCAAGGGAGAGGAGGAGGTGAGAGAAAAGGAAGGGGGAAGGTTAGCCTGGTAAATAATGGCACCTACTAGGATTTTCTTCAGTAAAAGGCTTAATGTGTTTGGTTGTGTTATGGAGAGCAAGAGTCAGTGACCTTAATTATGGATGATATTCTGCACTGGAAAACAAGTAAGGTAAGGGTTTCTGTATTTGTTAATGTTTGGTCTGAACTGGTTTAGCAGTGTTGGCCATGGTTTAAGCCTTTAGATAGTCATCTTAGGTGAAGTGAATGAGAAAAAAGAACTGCCAGGAGCATACTGATAAGGCTTGCCATTAGCAGCAATCTTTGGACTATCTAGCTACACTAAATATTCTTTATGAGAATGTATTTGGATTGCTCACAGAACTATGTAGCTCATAGCACTTGAACTCCCTTCATTTCCTGGTAGCACACTATTTCACTCTAGAGGCTGTCATGGCATTGCTATGGAAACAACATCGCTGTTTCCAGCATGTGCTCATCTTGAGACTCATCTTGACTAAAATACTCATTTCTCAGTCAGATCAATATAGTCCAGGGTTATCCTGTTTTAATAAAAAATTCCTGCTTCTGTGTCCCAAAAGGGTTAAGCTAATTAGCAAATCACCATAGGGCCTTTTTCTAGTCTAATGTATTCTGGTATTTGAGGCATATCTTGGATAGTCAGTTTCTTAGGCATCATATCTTGGGAAAAATGAATTTACTTAAGAAGTAAACAACAGGGGAAAAATGGAAAAATCCGAAATAACGTGGTGCATTGATGGAGACCAAGTTTGTGGCAGCCCACTGTGCATCTGAATATAGTATATAGGGCAAATACAGAGCTCAGGAAGCAGCCCAGGCTGGGGGAGATAGCCAGCCTTACAAAATCCCTGTACCTGCCTCAGTGCTAAGTATGTGAAAGCTAAACTGAAAGCAGATCTGCAGTATTGTCTTGTTATTTGTGGAGGAAGTTTATACCCTTGAGTGAGATAAGGCCGTTTGTATAAAAATGCCTGAGCCAGGATGACTGCACAAGCTGTGTGCATAAGGGTGCCTTTTCTGTGCTCTCAAAAGCATGTCTGTACTGTGTGAGAAACTGGTGCCACCCTCACCCACAGCACTGTTTTCCTACAGAACACACCTTCTGTTTGGGAGATGATAGACCTCATTTCTCTTTTGAGAGCTCTGTGTAATCCATGTTAGCACTTCCTTTTCTGTGAAGAGGAGTGTGTCAATCTCTATCAGGTATTTAAAAGGTGAATGTTATACCATGGAGTCATATTCCAGCTGAGTTGCTACTAGTAACATTTGAGTAGCTTTTCCTCAAATTTTTCTTTTGTTCTTTATTTCCCAGAGTCTCTCCCTCTCCCACATGCCTTGTGTGTGTGTGTCTCTCTCTGTGGTAAAGGAGAATGAAGATGCCTGCAAAGCTAAAATCAGGTCTGTAAGTTACAGGATTGCAGGGGTGCCATGAACACTGATCCCGTGGTTTGGAGAGCTCTCTTATTCTAACTCTTGAGAAAGGATTGCTTTGCCTTTCTCATTAAAACACTCCTATGTGAGCAACTGAGGGGGGAAAAAGCTGTTTTAATGAGCTGATTAGATTCTGGGTTGATGGGATTTCCTTGCTAGACTCCACATTTTCAGAACAGAACACTGTCTAGCAAAAGAGTCTTCTACTAAGAGTTGACAGTGGCAAACCCAAAGATTTTCATGTCTGACTTAAGCCTTGTAGACCCTTGTCTTTCCCAAGAATTTTTCA